TAAAATCAAGATCTTACCTAAAACCGGAAGGAGTATAAAAAATCGTAAAATACTAACGTAAAAGAAATCATAAAAAATCGTAAAATCGTAAAATTTTTTGGAATTTTGAAGAAATCATTTTTATTAAAAAAAATCGTAAAATCTTTTCTTTTCTTGTTTATATTTTTTTAATACATTTAAAATTTTCTTTAAAAAAAATCTTGGGGGCAGCACCCTCACCCTACTTGTACAGACATAACTTCTTCTTTTTTCTGGGTTCGCCATATGGATGAATATGATCATTGTTCGTTTATTTATCCAGGTACAGTTTGGAATTTTGATGAAATCATTTTTATTAAAAGTTTGAGAATTTTTTTTTAAAAGGGGTGGGTGATTTAGGTCAAGTAAAAAAAAAAGATTTAGGAAGATTGAAAAGAAAAAAAGTAACATAGGTCCAACCATGATAGTTAAAATCAAGATCTTACCTAAAACCGGAAGGAGGATAAAAAATCGTAAAATACTAACGTAAAAGAAATCATAAAAAATCGTAAAATCGTAAAATTTTTTGGAATTTTGATGAAATCATTTTTATTAAAAAAAATCGTAAAATCTTTTCTTTTCTTGTTTATATTTTTTTAATACATTTAAAATTTTCTTTAAAAAAAATCTTGGGGGGGCAGCACCCTCACCCTAATACATTTAAAATTTTCTTTAAAAAAAACTTGGGGGCAGCACCCTCACCCTACTTGTACAGACATAACTTCTTCTTTTTTCTGGGTTCGCCATATGGATGAATATGATCATTGTTCGTTTATTTATCCAGGTACAGTTTGGAATTTTGATGAAATCATTTTTATTAAAAGTTTGAGAATTTTTTTTTAAAAGGGGTGGGTGATTTAGGTCAAGTAAAAAAAAAGATTTAGGAAGATTGAAAAGAAAAAAAGTAACATAGGTCCAACCATGATAGTTAAAATCAAGATCTTACCTAAAACCGGAAGGAGGATAAAAAATCGTAAAATCCTAACGTAAAAGAAATCATAAAAAATCGTAAAATCGTAAATTTTTTTGGAATTTTGATGAAATCATTTTTATTAAAAAAAATCGTAAAATCTTTTCTTTTCTTGTTTATATTTTTTTAATACATTTAAAATTTTCTTTAAAAAAAAATCTTGGGGGCAGCACCACCCTAATTGTACAGACATAACTTCTTCTTTTTTCTGGGTTCGCCATATGGATGAATATGATCATTGTTCGTTTATTTATCCAGGTACAGAACCAAAACCCTCAAAAGCCCTGAATAGGAGAAGCAAACTCAACGAAAACAATGATAATCAAAAAGAGTTACCAGAACTTACAACCGACCTATTGGAGCTAATTGCTAAACGTCAAGATGTGGCAGGCTTTTGTGGATTTGGTGCTGTTTGTAAGAGCTGGTTGGAAATCTATGATAGATCAAGGGAAGATTTCTTGGAATCCCAAGCACCAATGGTAGTTCTTATATCATCATCACAAGACAAACGAGAATGCTATTTGCATGACATTGCTAATGGCAAGACAAAAAAGGTTATGTTGCCTAACATAGTTAGCAAATTCTTTGTTGGGTGTTCAGCAGGATTCTTGATCTTAGAAGACATATATCGTGAAATTTTGCTTATAAATCCTTTCACTGGACATCAACTGAAATGTCATGCACCACATTTTAGCCTTATAGGCAAATCTCTTCATGACAAAATCATTGTGGCATCAACTTCGTCCCCTAAAAGTTATGTCATCCTAGCCATCTCCAATACTATGCGTGAGTTGCAGGTCTTTCATTTTAAGAATAGTCGTTGGTTTACTTGGCTATTTCTCAGGCAAGAATGGGTGGACATAGCAATTTTTAAGGGTCATGTTTATGTTGTTACAAAAAATGCTGAATTAGGGGAATTGAGGATAAAAACAACAGACTCCACAAGTGTAGTGTTTAATTGGCTCAGAGTGAGAAATACCCCTAATGTGAATTACTTTTATCTTAAGTTGGTTGTTTCAAATGATCAACTTTTAATGGTTGATTTTGTTCCTGAGGAACATTTGAATATTTACAAGATGGACTTTGAAGCAATGGAGTGGGTTAAGGTGGATGAGTTGGGTGATCAAGCTTTCTTCTTTGGGAGAGCATGGGGTTCTGCAATGAGGAAACCAGGTAGGTGGGGAGGTCAAAGCAACTGCGTGTATTGTCTTGACACTCTATCCAACATGTGCTGCATATACTCAATGGAGGCTCAACTGATTAGCAAGTTCCCATTTGTGGAAGATTCAATTACTTCTGAATTATCCTCAATTGGTTGGTATTATCCACACCAGTGTATCAAGGTAGATTATCTCAATGAGGATTAGGGAATATTAGGATAGGATATATAATGTTCATTCAACATAGATAACTCTATTTATGATTTTCTTTTCTCTTTCATTTTGTCCAATTTCTTTTTTTCAAAAAGACTTCATCTGTCACTGCTAAGAACTTATATTTTGGCATTGTTATATGAATAATATGAACGTTTAAAGATAGTTCTATTGGGTCTGGACCCTATTTTTCATTTCATGGGCCCATTGCCCACCTGTAATGTTGCACCCTACCCCTTTGAAAAAAACAATACAGAACCCAATGAGAGAAAGAGGAGAGCAACACCTTGCGGGAGAGACAAAGGTGCAATTTTGCAAGAGAGAAAAACCACAACAAGTGAAGGTCTTACATTGTGTGTGTGAGACAGAAAGAAAACGAGGAGAGAGAAATAGTGAGAAGAGATAAAATATATTGTATCTTTGATATTCTCTTACCAATCCAAGGGTGAGATCTTATCGGAATAATCTTAAATTTTAGGTGAGTGTTCTTCATATATATTACTCAACATCTAAGAGTTACTTTGTGTCAGGGGAGTTCATGGTAAAGGACTATTATTAATGGACTAAGGTTATACCAATCTTATTAAATTCATGGGTCCATCCACTTATATCCACTTCATTAGCCTATTACCAACTAATATGAGACTCATTGCATTTGAATATTTCAACAATCTCCTTCTTAAGTGTGAAACTCAACATTGGTATGCTTCCCCTCAACTAAGTACCATATCCAGGTCCAAAGTACTCAATTTCGCCTATAGTCAATCATCTGGCTAACTCGAGCCCAACCCAGCTATGATACCAATTGTCAGGCAGGTCCAAGGGAGAGCCCGTGGCAGGGGATCACCACCAATAAGCTAAGTTAGTCCAACCATATCAAATGGGCCCCTTCACTTATATATACTTCGCTTAAGCTAAGTTAGTCCAACCATATCAAATGGGCCCCTTCACTTATATATACTTCGCTTAGCCTGTTACCGACCAATATGAGACTTTATTACACTAGAATATTCTAACACTTTGTGATTTGGAGGTTTAAGGAATTGTAGTAAGGATTCTCACTTTTAGACATTTTTAGGTGACTTTCCTCCTTATTTTTTTTTTTCTGAATTTCCATCTATTTGAGGATGTATGTGAATTTGTTAACTTATTGTGTACCAATTATTATTGTTTGGTGATAATAAAAGATTCGAGGGGAATTCAGATAAAAGTTTTGTGTGACAATTGTGTTAGTGTTGTTCTTGATTCTACTTTTTACTGTTTACTTCAACTTGCATTACATTAATGAGAAATACACTTCTCCTATTGTCTCAACTCGAATTCCATGTTTTAATTTTCAAAATTTTGTGGGCTCTACAAAATTTTCTTTCTGCTTGAAATTGTCAACCTTTCTCCTATGAGAGGTGTTAAGCCCTACATTAATTGTGGATAGATACTTCATTGGTAATGTGATAATACTTTACTAGCATGGACTCAAAACAAATCCAATACATTCTATTTTTTTTAAGTGTTGTTTCTCTTTTATAAATGATTTATTTAAAAGAGAATAATACTAGATCCCCACACACATCACCTCATATGTAATAGCTTTTACATTTGATTGCATATCTTTTTTTTTTGAGTAAGTACCCTTTTTAGTCCCTGGCAATATCCACGAAGCCCTTTTCAGTCCCTAGCAATAAAAAAGGGACAAATTGGTCCCTGAAATAACAAAAAAGAGGCCACGTTTGTAACAGCCCGTTGTACACCGGTATTGTTAACATTAATTATGATATTAAGCGCAGTTACAATCACAACAATTCATTTATAAAAATGCGAATAAACCTTTTCCGATTATTACACGAGCATTTAAAACTATAAAAAGCGTAATAATAAAAAGCTGTGACCGTAACTGTAAACTCTTGCGGAATACTTATTTAAACTATTTTTATGTCTTACTTTACTTATTATAAGTTACTAAGGGGTTCCCATAAACCCACTTAGCCAATTTCTCAACTTTACGTTTTTACCTTTCCGAACATGGTTCACTAATTATTTTTCTGCGAACACACCGCTTAAAACCAGACTTTCCTCTCAGGTTATATTTTTCTTACTTAATTCCCTTTCTAAAAAGCTATCACACGCTTTAATCGGAGCTCGTTTGCTCCGGTTATCGCCGTTTGAAGTTGGATAAGCAAAACCGCCAACCAACCCAAAACAACTCAAAACCTCTCTCACTCCACGAATTTCTGAAGCAAATCCACTCATCCAATTGTTCTCAAATTTGTACGCTACAAACTAGACATCTCAACCTTTAATTTGATATATCATAGCTTAATTTTACTGAGAAACGAAGCGGGAATTAATTTCCCAAAAACTGCCAGAAACAGCCCCTGCATAAGGGGGTTCTGGACAGTCTGTGTTCAACGACTCCTACAGGGCTTCACAAACCCAGAAATTTCTCATATTTTTGAAAGCCATGTAGGGGACACCTCAAGCTTTAAAATGGCGTATGGCACGTCCCTATCGGACCTCTGTGGAGAGAGATATGCTCTCCCGAAGTTCGCCTAAAATCTGCCAATTCTACCGAAAATTCGCCAGAGTTTCCTTTGTTTTTCTTAAAATCCCCAAATTTGCCTAAGCTCTCTAGTACCTCAATGTACCTAATAATCCAATGGGTGGCACACACAAGGACCGACAATGCCTTGGGGCACTTACAACCCAACTCAGTTTATATTTATTACACAGTATAACTCACTTTATAATTCTTAACTTGTTTCAATCATCAAGTCCATTTTCATGCAATTTCCACATACAATTAATGATAAACCTAAAATAGGCCTAAAGCCCTTCCATCATAGTATATCATGCATCTCTTGTACATTTACAAATTACAACTTACAACTTTAAACTTTAAATTACAACTTACAATTTCATGCTTTAATTTACAACTTGAAACATAAAACTCAAATGACATAAACAACTAGACTTAGGCAAAACGACATGAACAAATATGACATGAAACTCATCCTACATACATATGGGATGTTCATGCCCTAAGTCTAGCCTAGGCCACAAGGCCAACAAAATGAAAAATGATAAAGATGCTCCCAGTAGTCATCCTACGGGCTTCTTGCCCACCACTCCAACGCCACTACTAGCTCCTGAAATAAATTCTCCAAGACGGGGTGAGATATATAGATATATCTTAGTAACCCAGAGGTTCCGGAGAAAACTCCGCCCAATGGCTCACTTCGATGCATATAAGTAATATAAAAAAAAACCACTTTCAAAACGGGATATAGCAAGGGATTTAGAGAAACTGGGGAATATCGGGATATAAAATACGACGAGCTGGAATGGTAGCTACCAATACCAGGCAACGCCCTCGGCATATAAGCCTACGGGTCTAATCCAAGGCGTGTTCCAAGAACCACAACCAAGGTACCCCTTCCATCCATATACACCCGAGACTTCCTACTGTGCTCTTACCCGGATGACACACCACGACCCTAGGTCAACTGGAACTCCTTCTCGGAGACCTATCCAGTGGAAGTCCGCACTGCCCGAAGGCTACACTGTCTGCTGGCCAGAGACTCGGTACATAAGTACCCTCATAAATGCTACATGCATGCTCATGCTGTTCTACACTACTCATATACACTTCATACCATTACCCTCAACGGGTATGGTGGAACAGAAAAGGGGAACAAGCCCCAGTACCAAGAGGTTACCTCAAATGTTCTTCCACTTAGCTCCACAGTAGCTTAGGTTCCAAGTTTGTTACTCAACAGAAAGCCTACACATAGGACGCTCCCAATTACTCAAAGTTCACAAAACGCATGCCAATCCTCAATTACACATGCATAATCCAATCACTTACCTCAATCCACTTGGTCCAGGACCAAGGGCAATCAACTTATTCACAGTTAAGGATTCAGATCGACGCACGGCAACCTATACAACCATGTACAACCATCAGTATGCGTCAATTTCCATCAAAACGCGAAAACCACAAAATCCTCCACTTCCTCTTGAAGGTTCGGCCAAACAAGGCAAAAATTCAAATTTATTTTTCTAAATTTTCTTTCTCATTTTATTAAACATCCGTAGGTTGCCAAGAGGGTAATTCAAGTGCCGTTTTTCTGTTTTACGTCTTTTAAGCACCGTTTTGCTAAATAATTCACTCTAGGTTCCTTGGTCACCCTAAACACAATTTATTATTTTTCATTGAGGATGTGGTGAATCTTTTAGTGGAAGAAGAAGGAAAAATGAATATACTTGGGATGACACTGTGGGTTCACATGTTTGATTTTCATCTATAGGCTCCACATGAAGATCCGTTGGGGGAAAGAAAGACCGAGATTCAAAGAAAGTGACATAAAGAGAGATAAAGACCTTATGTAAGAATGAAGAATAACACTTGTATCCCTTTTGGGTAGGAGAGTATTTAATGAAGACACACTTGTGAGATTTTCGATCTAGTTTGGACTATTTAAATGTTGGAATACAAACAAATACGACACAACGAAGCATTTTTGGAGGAAGAAAGGAGATAGATCGAAGGGAAAGGAAGGTGATTAGGAAGCAAGATATTGGAGACTAAAATTCAAGGACACGAGATGGCATGCGATTGATGTAGTGAGTACAACTTCCCTCTACACGTGTTTAAGGAGATTCATGGTGAACACGAGTGTGTTAGCAACTTCAAGAATATGCCTACTCTTTCTCTTGGCTACTGTAACAGCCCGTTACGTACCGGTATTGTTAACATTAATTATGATATTAAGCGCAGTTACAATCACAGCAATTCATTTATAAAACGCGAATAAACTTTTTTCCGATTATTACGCGAGCATTTAAAACATAAAAAGGCGTAATAATTAAAAGCTGTGACCGTAACCGTAAACTCTTGCGGAAGACTTATTTAAACTATTTTTATAACTTACGTTACTTATTATAAGTTACTAAGGAGTTCCCATAAACTCACTTAGCCAATTTCCAAACTTTACGTT